TAGTTTGTCAAAATCCAGAACAAAACAAAGCAAACCCCTGCTAGAAGTTTAGTTTGGGATTGAACTTAGTCTATATTTCAATTTCAGGTGAAATAATAACAAATTTGAATTTTGTAATCTACTAGTTTAGTATAGTATTGTATTTACTTCTTTAATTTATCTGAGCAATATTTTGTTATTTTCTAAGACTACTTTGTTAGGTGCAAAAAGTTAATTTTTCTTTTTACTTTTCCATGTCAGTGATTAACAGGCTATTTTTTGGGGGGTAGGGTGCTAGGGTAAATATTGCCAGGTCTACAGGTTATATAGTCTTTCTTTTACTTAGCTCTGCTGTTACAGAGTGAAAGCAATCATAGACAACATTTAAACAAATGACATGTCTGTGTTCTAATAAAACTTTATTTGTGAAAAGCAGTGAGCCTAACTCAACCTATAGGGTGTGGTTTGCTGTCATATTCTGATTTTTGAGTTCTTTATATATTCTAGATAGTAGACCTTTGTCTGAGGAACAGCTGGTAAAAATTTTTCCCCACCTGGTGGGTTGTCTCTTCACTCTATTGGTGGTTTCTCTCTTGTTTTTTTTATACCAGGGATTAAACTCGGGTCCTTGCGCTTGCAAGGCAGGCACCTGAATTGTTGATTTCTCTTGCTGTGCAAAAGTTTTTTAATAAGATGAGATCCCACTTGTTGATTCTTTGTTCTAGTTCCCAAGAGACAGGTTTCATTTGTAAAGTCTTTCCTATGCCAATGTCTTTAGGAGTTCTTATTCCAGCAGGTTTAGGTTTCTGTTTTAATATTTAGATCTTGGATCCATTTTGACTTTAGTTTAGTGCCTGGTGAGAGATAGGGGTCTAGTTTTAATCTTTGGTAAGTTCAGACCCAGTTTTCCAGCACCAATTACTAAAGAGGCTATTTTTCCTCCAGTGAGCGTGTTTGGCTCCTTTGTCAAAGATGAGGTGGCTGAGTATATCTGGAGTTGTTTCTGCATCTTTTAATCTGTACCATTGATCCTCAGGTCTGTCTCTTTTCTAGTACCATGCTGTTTTTAACACAGTAGCTTTGTAGTGTAGTTTAAGTTAGGGATTGTGAAATGCCCTACCTTGTCTTTGTTGTCTAAAATTGCTTTTTCTATTCTAGGGCTTTTCTTTTATGTCTATTGTTTTAGTAGCTTATCTTTGAAATTTTACCATTGTGTTTATCAAAGTTTAACTTTCCTGGGCAATAAAAGTACCTGGACTATTTTAATTCCACTCATTTTCCTGTTGAAAATGTATTATTATCATGCATTTACTATGACCTTTATTTTAAAATGTTTATTATTATTATGGTTTCCCTATAGATAAAATGTTTGTTTAGTTTTGCTTTTACCTTGCTCCTCATTTTTCTTCCAGCATCTTAGACTTTTTTTCAAGGAATAGTTTCTTATTCACTGAATGATAGTCTTGGAATTCTCTTTATTGAAGATTTGTTGGTGGCAACCACTAGTTCTTATTTATCTGGAAATGTCTCCAGTTTTGAAAGATAGCTTGATAATATACCTTTCTTGGTTGCAGTTATTTCCTCTTCATACTTTTTTCCCCCCAGAACACCATGAATTGCCTGTATTTCCATATGCAGCCACATTTCTTCACTTAGTGGTTCTGAACAGAAAGTGGGAGAGGGCAGGTGGTGCCAGGAGGCCAAGCCCACCAGTCCTGGGGTCTGTTGCACACAAAGCTCCTTCTTAGTCCCCACTGAACACCTGAGAAGCAGCAGCACCGAAGCCAAAGTCCATGCCAGGCCGGGTTCTTTGCTTCAGGTGTCAGATTCTGCACTAGACCCAAATAGAGGCAAGAATAGCTTCTCAAAAGCCCATGTAAACCTTCCAAAGTGAAGCGGGCATGGGAAAGGGAACCATACAGAAAGTCTGAGGCTCTTTTCAACCTTACCTTATGGTTTCTGGACAAAGGAAGGAAGGAAGGGTCATGGAAAGTATTGGGTGGTAATATTGTGACAAGGGAGAGAAGGAAGGAGGAGGAGGAAGGAAAAAGCAGCACCCCTCAATCAAGGTGGGGAAGACATGGGGCAAAGCCCTGAATTCCTCACTGCAGGCCAATTTCCATGAGGGAGAGAGGTAAAGGTTACAAGTTATGCTTCAGCCAGGGATGTGAGTAGAGGAGAGTGGGCTAGGTCGATGGCTTGGAAGGGAGTTGTTTAAGTTATTTAAGACTTAAAAAAGAAGCCAAGGTGCAGTGCCAAAAGCACCCCCCACACCCAGCAGTAGTACCTTAGGCTGTGATGTGAAACCTTCACATCTACTCAAGGGGAGTTGTTTAAGTTATTTAAGACTTAAAAAAGAAGCCAAGGTGCAGTGCCAAAGCACCCCCCACACCCAGCAGTAGTACCTTAGGCTGTGATGTGAAACCTTCACATCTACTCAGCCAACTGCCCTAGGCCAGAGGAAGCAGGGAAGGGGAGAAGGCAGACCTGGGTCCTATAATTAGAGCAAGGTGATTGCGTGATGTATATTTTCACAGTTGAGACAGATTTGTCTCACCAGTCATGATAGGAATCAATGACTTTTTTGATCCCTGAAGTTCAACAATGTGGACAGTGCTTGTACTTTTTTTTTTGTTTTGTTTTTTGAGACAGGGTCTCACTATGTAGTTGAGACTGACCTGGAACTCACTATGTAGCCTGGGCTGATCTTGAACTCAGCGATCCTTCTGCCTCAGCCTCCCGAGTACTGGGATTGCAGGTGTGCGTCACCACGCCCAGCCTGACAGTGCGTATACTTGACATGACAATTTGTTATATGTTTCAAATGGACAAAAATTAGCATCATTTACAATATCTTAAGAAAAACTGCCTTTGAATGGGGGCTTCCTTTCCAGTACTTCCAAGTCTACAAGACATAACTAGAAAATGTGCTACCGTGGAAAATGAAGATTGCTTAAATTGAATAGGGGGTAGGGATGGAGGTGAAGTGCCTGTGGGTTTTGTTTATTGCTGTAACATGTCTTTCAGGCAGTTGAGAAAGTTTCATATTTCTTTAGGCATCGCTAAAAGGCAAAACTCTAAAAGAACTTTGATGCTGTACGAGTACTTTCATTTTGCTTGCACTGATATGACACCTGGGTTCGCCACTCCATTAGAACTGTTAACTTCATTCATAATAAGTTTTGTTACAAATCTTACAAAGGGGGATGCTTCTGGGTATTTAGGTCCACCTTATATTTTAAGGTTATGCATTCATTTTTCATAAATCGTTCTTGGAGGCCCAATATCTATCCCTGTCCATCTTGTGTCATATGTTCATCGTCCTCTAGATCCCCAGCTAACTGTGCCATCTCCTACTCCTTTCTGTCATTCTGTGAGTTCTTCCAACATTCAGAAATTGCATTCCTGAGTCTGTAGGGTGGCTGCCATCTTGTGTCACTGTAGTTCTTATCACTTTGATTCCTGCTATGTCCTCTATCCTCCCCACACTTTGAAAATACTTCTTTAATTTCTGTTGTTACTATTGGAAAGTCAGCTATCAGTTTAATCTAGTTATCATCACTTTGTAGGTAATATGTCTTTTTTTTTCTCTCACAAACTCCTCAAAAGTACTTTCTATTTCTAAAAGTCCTATTTTCTACATGTGTCTAGATATTTTTGATAGCTTTATATTTCTCATTTATGTGACTCCATTTCTGAAAAGGGTTCACACACAGTTATACTATATGATATATCTGCTAATTCTAAAATTTTAAGTAACTAGTTCCCAAAATATGCTGCCCACCCAGTTATGTGTTTATTAGTAACTAGGAGGCTAAATTGCCAAAATTTGTTGAAATTAGTCTGTGAGTATTCTGAGGTCATAAAGTAGAAGTGCTTTCCTCTAAAAAGAATTTTTGGTCATTTCTTCTATCAACCAAGAAGCAGTAACAACTGGGACCATTTGCATCTCTTTCTAGGTTTCTGGCTTTCTGTCTCTAACTTAGATGAACTACCATGATGCTTAAGTTTCTCAGTGAACTGAAACATTGATCAAAACAACTTGAAGAGGATCTTATATTTTTCTCTTGTTTATGATTCATTGATTCCATTCTAATTGCCATTCACTTTTTTTTTGGACATAGATTGAGGGCAGATAATGAGTGCAGGGTTTGTTGGTTGGGGATTAAGAGTCATATTAAATATACATCCAAAAGTCTATTTTATCCAGGACTTAGTCGTTGTGTACTAGGAAGGTCGTTCAGAGTACATCGTCCACTATAGCAACAAAAGTAGTGGTCTCCGGGAACAATGTTCAGTTGAACGCAGAATCAACAATTCTTTTTTGAACTGGTAAAGGAAGGTAGTCATCAGCACAATGTCCTGATAGGTGTGGGGCAGATTTGCTGCTCAAAGATGTTTTTGTATTTGCTTATAGTGATGCCTGAAGTTCACATGCTTCCTCTCTTTTAGGGTAAAGCAGTTATTACTTAGTAAGTGGAAATTCCTGCTAGGTTGTTCTCGGCAGTTGCCATATCAAAACTGTGATCAGACACATCACTTATACCGTAAAAAGAATTTATTATAGAAAAAATATGAAAAGAGGAAAAAATGGACAAATTCCTGCTAGGTTGTTCTCGGCAGTTGCCATATCAAAACTGTGATGACACATCACTTATACCGTAAAAAGAATTTATTATAGAAAAAATATGAAAAGAGGAAAAAATGGAAAGAAAGTCTTTGTAAATAGGGAAGGGGTGAAGGGGGTGAAGGGAGGGCAGGGGAATGGGGAAAAATAAGAACCACGTAAAGGTACAAGATCCCAATGGTGAATGTAACGGTATTGTATACTTAAAACGTACCAATAAACTCAATGAAAAAAATCTAGCAATCTGTGCTTCTTTTATGGATATCTTCTTTGTTATCTTTGGGGAAAGTTAAGAGCTGAATTAGAATGAACAATCTTGTTTTTCAACAATTCATATCAATTTTGTTTCCTCCACCATTATTCTGATGATTCCCTTTGGTCATTCTTTTTCCAGAATTTGCTTTCATGAAGTGTTTGACAACATCAGGTTAATATCTGTAAGTAGCTAATGTAGATTTTCTTTCCAATCAATAAATGTTTTATTCCAAAGACTTGTTCCTTAAATGGAGGGTGTGGTAGATTAAAAAGATTAAAAATTCTTTGGTACTTTCTCCCTGCAGCAACACAGGTCCCTGTTTCTGCACCTTGACCTTGGATAAAACCTGTTAATATTGGACTAATAAAATTTTAAAAAGTGAAACAAAAAGAATTCATTGCATAAACAAAATCAAAGAATCATTACATGTACAAGCTAAAAGCAACCTTAAACTTCATAAATGGTAACTTTATTGTACCTATTCTATACATGTTATATATAATTTATAATGAAGAAGTTCAAATGTTTGGCCTAAGATCCTAAAGCAGGCTTTGGAACCACCATGAAAAAAACCAAGTTTTGAGAAGAAGCTTGTGGGGCATTAGGTGAACATGAGAGGATTTGGAGACTGACACATCACATCTAACTCTGTCGCTTAGTGATGTGTGACTGGGGGAATTCTCATTCTCTCTGTACCTTAGTACCTTAGTCTACATTTCACTGAAGTGGGGATAAATTTAGCACCCCTCACAGTATTGTTGTGAATATTAAGTGAGATAATGTGTGTAAAGGAGCTAGCAAATGTCTCATGCATAATGAGTTCAGTAAATGCTAGCTGTGGATATTGTGGTTACTCTGTCCCTGGTGCTGCAGACCAAACTTGATGTGAAGAGCCTTTGATAAACATATCGACCCCCTGGAACAATCAGAGGGAGGTGTGGGTTACAAATTTAAATTTGGATTTTTAACATCATAAAGACCGATGAAGTCCTTCCCCTGTGTTTATCAATCTTGTATTTGTAAAGGGGATGTAAAAAGATTTAAGATGTCATGTACATGTACCAACTACCTACAATAAATGTGATCATTATATGTCACAAACATGAACTAAAATAGTAATAATAATAATAATAACAATAGTGATAAGAATGAGAATGGGAGGAGGGGATCCAGAAACAGAAGGAGAAAAGTAAGGGAAGGGGGAGGGAAATAAAAAGCATCAAGGTATGTCAAGTACATGCACACACTTCCCGAGATGAATGTAAACACCATGTACTACAAACATGTACAAATAAAAACATAAAAAAAGACAGAATTGACACACCATGGATGAAGATAAAGACCTATGGCAGAAGCTCGAGTAACATTAATATTTACACATTTACCCAGAGAAAGTGAAGGAAAGTAAGAGTGTCCAAAGATCTAGGGTGGGGGGAAGCAGGAGAGAGCACAGCCTAAACCTAGGGAAGGGAAAGTTTTACAATTGCACAGAAAGAGTAGTGTGATTTTGAGGTGTGTGAAATACTCTCTGTCACCATTATGTCCTTTTTATATAAAACACAAACTGTGCTTGTGACCTACAATTAATTAGCTGGCTAACACTTGAGAATCAGTGGAAATAACAATTTATAGAGTTTTTTAAAAATATAAGTAAAGTAGCTACAGTTTCTTGTGGGGTAATAAGAATTTCTCTTGAAAATTTCTTCAAGATATTTTGCCAAAAGGAAACTTGGCCTATTTTTTTTTTTTAAATGCAGCCACTGTAGCTGATCTTACATTAAGAGAGGGGTTTTCAGCACTTTTAGTAGGAAGCTCTGCCCGTCACTTTTTCTCCACTTGCTAAGTCATATGATTATGTCAACTTATTTCAAGAATGCTTTGGGTAGCTGGAACATGAATTCTGGAAATCTCCTGCCCTTCCTAGGCTTACTATTTCCCAAACCCCAATTAGAACTGAAACATCATTTGTGTTGAAAGATGGTTTCTTCACATTATACAATCACTTTCATGTTCACTGTGATCCATCATCGTATCTGATTTGTTAAGATATATGTGCAATTTTTTGAAGACTTTGTCTCCCAGTGAAAATCTTATTGAGCTCTGCCTCTTAGATAGAAAGCCTTTTAGTGCTGTTCCTGGGAATGACAAAAATAAGGGTGGTCGATTTACTTAATAGAGACAAAGACCAATGTTATCAGAGTAAATCCGCTTCACTGGCACCTGAAATAAATGGGCTTAAGAGAAGAAAAAAGACTTTCTTACCTACCTCAGAGAGGCTAAAGAGAACTAGAAATGCATTATTTTGAAGGAGCAGCAGGAAGGATATAAGATTCAGTAATTCATTTATCATTTAAAAATTAATTGACAATACTGTACTGAACATTGTGTGAGATATTGTGGCGATGTCATAGTTGAGAAGATATATGAAATCTTTGGATGCATATAACGGAGAATATAGAAACATATTCTTAATTGTCTGGAAAGTCTGGAGAAAGTGAAAATGAGCTTTGGAGTCTCCCACTTAACTGAGAGAATTTCGATGTGAATTTTCTTAGATGAGCACACCTCATTAGTTACTGAATTCAGTCGGGCCTGGCTAAGAAGAATTCAGAACTGCAGTCATATTCATATGTTGCCTGGGATTTTTGGTGGTGTTGTTTTACCCCTAGCGTTAGCTTATCTCTTATATTCATCGTGCTATGTCTACCTTCCTGGAGCTTGGCCACATAGCACAATGGTTAAGAGTGTGAATTTTGGAATCAGACCGAGTATCTGTGTATCACTAGTCAGGATACTTACTGTCCCTGAATTTCAGTTTCCTATTAATTAAAGGGGGCAATAACAATAGTTACTTCACAGGACTCCTGTGAAGACTAAGAGAAATGAACACTGGAAGCTTTTAGTGTAGTCTCTGATACACAGTCAGTGTCCACCCTCAGACATGGTGCTGATGCAATGAAGTATAAGTTCACCTTGTATTAATCACACTTCTGAGTCACAGCTAATAAAAATAGCTATCATTATTCATATACAGCACTTGCAAGGCCCACCTTACATGTCAGTTGGCAGTGTTTCTTCCTAATTGTCACACTTTTCTCATTTTTTTATCCCTGTGGCTTAAACTGTGAAACAGACCATTCCCTCCAAGTTGGAGTCCATGGGCTAAAGGACTACATTATCTCAGACTCCTAGGTATAAGGCTCCACCTTCCCTCTGCTCTGTATTTAGGATTCTATCTGATTTTTTTCATGGCCAGCACGTCTGAAGCCAGTTGAGCAGCTCAGATCCAGAGCAATTACATTCATGACAAATAGTAAATGCTACAAATTTCCCCATGCTTTTTATCCTAGGCAGGTTTCTGTCTTATCATTGTGGAAGGTGGTAGACCAAACACCATGAAACCATATGCAACTTTCTTTTTTACCACTGGTAGAGTTTCGCTCTGGTTGAATAGTTTCAAAGAGAAAGTTTCACTCTAAGTGATAGTCTTGCAGACATCTGGAATAGTTGAAGCACTATTATTTTAGTAGGCTTATTCTGAAGAACAAGGGCTCTTCTTATTTTTGGAAACCAGAATTGTGTTTTTAGGTTCCTTTTTTGTTGTTTTTAGAGATAAAATCTCACTGCATTGCCCAGACTGGTCTCAAACTCATGGGCTCGAGTGACTTCTTGCCTTAGCTTTCTGGGTAGCTGGGACCACTGGCATATGACACTCCACCCAGCTCTACTTGTGTGTCCTTGTGGAAGGGAGGGACATGCTGCCCTCAGAAATGAATGCCTTAGCTATCATACTTAACATGCAGCTATGGGCAATAGAGTGGCCTTGTGAAGGGTGAAGGGTCTGAGTCCTGGGTTGAGAGGGCCAAGAGACACATACATTTCCCCAGGATTCTGCCTTGGATTCACTCAATGGCCTGTTTTCACCTCACTTTATAAAATGCAGGTAAATGATAACATTTCTTTTCAATGACATTTTGTCAAACTTCTTTCAGATTTGAAGTGTAAAATAGGAACTATCCACCAATTGGAGCCCATAAAAAATGATGGTCACAGGAGCTAACCAGCGATGCTAGAGGTTAGACACCAGCTCCCTTCCTGTCACCTGGAGGCCTCCGCCATGTGACTCCTCTTCTCTCTCTGCTCATTTCCCTCTGCTTCTAGGTAAGATGAGTTCACTTCCAGCTTGATATGCTTTTCCCTTGGACAAGATTCCAGGTGACTCACCTGACAGCATAGTGTTTGAGAGTTTTCCCCAATCATGGGAAATTGGGACCAACTCTGAGGATGTTAGTGATAGAGGTATAGAAAGGAGGAGGAAGCTCACAGTCGGGAGAAAGTACTGTCCCTGTAGCTTAAGAGGTGTCTTCCAGAAGCGGGGTAGATTTAGGTTATTGAGAATTGTCTCTTGAAACAATGTCGCTGGTTTTCTCTGTTGTTTTTTGGGGGTAGTTTTAACGTAATTTTCCATAGGTTTTCATTTTTAAGTACAATGCTGATGATTAGCTTGAAATTGGTTTTTTTCCCCTGTTAAGGAAATGTTTGCTATGAATGTTTGAAGAGTTCTTTTAAATCAAGAAATCAAGGTATCAGTGCCACCACACTGTTGTGAGATTTAATGGGTTAAGGATGTAAACCCTTTGGGACCATGTGGCAGAATGGTAGCTGTTAATATTATACTTGATGTGTTGTGTTATCTTAATAGACCACAGATACCCATCTTTACATTTCTGGGATTAAACTCAGGAGCCATTGTCAAGCTGTGTCAAGGACAGATGTATGTCCCCCCAGATGGGGGTCCTCAACAACTGTAAATGCCTTTTTAACTTTTTCCATGGGGATTATAAATGTCCTTGGGATTATAATTCTTGTGTGAAAGCCAAGCATTGATTTGCCTCTCTTCCAGAAAATGCTGATCATGAGATCTGCAGGTGTTTACACATTGAAGAAACTCGGTCCTCTTCCCCATTGGTTAGCTTAATTTGAATGGCTAACAGGGTATTTAGTCATAGAAGTATGGAAATGAGAGGTGGATTTGTTCTCCACAGTGCCTTTACATATTTTGTGAGAATTTCAATTCCAGATTATGTTTTCAAGAATGTTTGTATAGCCACAGGCTTGGGAGCTGGGGATAGCTCATCTTTTTTCCTGAACAAGATAATAAAAGTCTGTCTGTGGTGCAGAGTCTGGACAGATTTGATTGCAGCCCTTTAAAAAGCTAGAAGTTTTGGAAGCTCCACGTTCTCAGCTAGGACAGCCATGGACCTGTGCATGCAGTGTCTATGGAGGATGGGCTCTACCTTGTCCTCAACCCCCACGGGATTAGAGACAAGGAGAAGGTGTGAACATGGAGTTTGTGCGGCCTACTCTTCCATACAGCAAAAATGGGCTAAATCCACTTGGGCTTCTTGTTCCTTACCTACTAAAGTTTGAAAAGGTAGCAAGTCAGCTTAGCACCTGTGTTATTACCGAAGGACTCCTTAATTGAACCCTTGGTAAGAATGAAACAAATATTTCAACTGCAAAATTGTCAAAGAAGGTAAACAGTCAATCCACGGAAGGAAACATGCCCAAGGTTACACTGACAAAGAATTGTGAGGTGTGGTAAAAATGCAGCGAATGTTTAAAATTTCAAAAGTGTTATAGTAAAAGACACATGGCTATGAAAAACCTGCAAAATGCTCCCTGGTATTTAGAACTCACTTACCTCATCATTTTCGCTACTTTCAGAAGCAGTTCTAGAAGTTCTCTTTCAAGCGTGTCTTTAGTTGCACTGTTGTGGCTCTCGTGTCCTTGAATTGATTCAAAACACTTGACATTCATGGACATTTTGAGTTTGGAGAAGAATCAGAAGTTGCAAGCTCCCCAGTCCAATGAATAATGTTTTTATGTGCCTGTTTTCTATTGACTGGCACTTGAAGCATCCACTGTATTTTTTTTTATCATGTTTTTATCATATCACTCATAAAAAAGGACTTTAGAACTTCTTCAACAAATGGCAAGGACAATGGGATAATCATGTTTGAAACGGGGCGGTGGTATTTTGAGAGAATTAATAGAAACCTGTCTTTTATGGTGATAATTAAAAAAATTAAAACATTTTGATCATACCTTGTGCAAGACAGATACTCGCTCTCTCTCTGTATATATATATATATATTGAGGTACTTAATTCACATTTGCAGCTGGTGAAAAACTGAAGAATTTAGGAACCTTGTTCTTGAGTGAATTCTTGCCATACTATTGGTCTAATGTTGAATAATATTATCAAAAATTTAGCGGCTCAAAGCCATGTGAATGTAGTGTATTATCTGAATTTCTGTAGGTCAGAAGTCTAGGAATAGCATGGCTGGATTCTCTGCTCAGAATCTTAATACATTGCAATCAGTGTTTTCTGGGGCTGAGGTTCTCATCTCTGGAGATGTAAGCTTACTGGCTATTGTCTTTGTAGTGACAGCTGAGTAACTGACTGAGTTCCCCATTTTCTTATTGGTTGTCAACCCCAGCCACTCAGCCTCCACAGGGATCCAGATTTCTTATCACATGGCTTCCTCCATCTTCAGGCCAAAATTTGTAAGTCAAATTTTTTTTCAAACTTCAAATCTCTGATTTCCTCTTCAGAGATCAGCTGGAGAAAGCTTTCCTTTTTTTCTTTTTTGTACTGGAATTTCACTTAGAACTTTGTGCTTGCTAGGCAGATGGCAGCAGCATTTAAATCCTCAGACTGAAAGGTTTCTATTTTTGACAGACTTATGTGATCAGGAAGGGCCCTCTTGAATAAAGGCCCTATCAAAAGATCATATAATATAATGTAATCAAAGAACCCATGACACTCACAGTATTGAGATTTATGCAAGGTTTGTACGTGATGGGGAGGAAGCAGCCATCTTAGAATTCTGCCGACTTCAGCTACTAAAATTTGGGAAAGCAATGTGGTAATATTTTCACAATTAAGCATCCATTTACTTTTGGATTCTACAACTTAACTTCTAGAACTCTCATTTTATAGAATAAACACACCGATATATGATAAAGTTAAAAAATATTTTCTTCATTGTTGGTAATGATCCCAAATTGGGAACTGTCGTTCTTCATTAAAAGGAGAATATTTTAATAAATTATGGTACAGCCATATTATTCTTGTTATGAATGACTTAGATCTATATTGATTTGGACCGTGAAAAAGTAAGTTTCTGAATAATGTATGTTTAACCATATGATTCTGTTTTGAGAAGAAAAATACAAAAACTGTACATGTGCATAAAAGGATGGATATGAAGATATTAATTAAATGACTATAAGCTATTAATTGGGTGGCCACCAAGATGCTAATTGGAAGTAAAGAGTTAAATTCGGTTGTGGAAGAAGGTAACTTTATCTTTATATATATCTACATTATTTCTCTATGCTAATTATACATCTTTTATATAATTAGAAACAATAAAATTATAAAAAACTAAATAAAATATGTATGTCTTGCAGAAAATTTGCAAAATACAGTAAGGCTTAAAGAAGCAAATCCAATTATTCACAACTCAAACATCTAGGTACATTTACTGAGGTTTTCAGACTCAAACTGAGCCATGCTACTGATTCCTAGGGTCTCCAGCTTATAGACGGACCTGTCGTCAATTTAGCCTCTGTAACTGGCCAATTCTTCTAACAAATCTGGTCTCACAAATCTGTGTCTGTACTTATATCTATCTATTGTCTGTTTCTCTGGTGAACTCTGAAAATATCTCCTACTAACATTCCATACATATTCATTAAACATTTTCTTTTAGGGTCATTATTGTATAATTTAAAAATATTTAATACAAGGGCCAGGGATTTAGCTCAGTGGTTCTGCTGCCTGCCTTGCAAGCGCAAGGACCCGAGTTCGATCCCCGGTACAAAAAAAAAAAAATTAATTCAGGCTGGGCATTTAGCTCAGTGGTGTCGCCACCCGCAAGGTCCTGAGTTGAATCCCCATACCAAAAAAAAAAAAAAAAAAAAAAAAAAAAAAAAAAATTAAAAAAAATTTAAAAAAAAAAAAAAAAAAAAAAAGAAAACAATTTAAAAATATTTAATTCTTCTGAAATTTATTTTAGTGTACATGAGGATCTATCCTAAATGGTTAACTATCACCCTGATATCACTTGTCAAAGCCATCCCTAATGATTAGAAATGCTATTCTTACTATGTACTAATTTTTCTTTTCCAGTACCAGGGATCAAATTCAGGACCTTGTACTTGTGAGGCAATGTGGCACCATTGAACTAAATCTCTGGCCCTTAAATTCTTACATATGTTCCTGAAATTAATTCTTCTCTTTTGGCAAATCAGTAATCTGTCACTGCTACCATGTTCTTTTAAAAATGGATTATAGCTTTATAATATGCTTTTATATCTGGTTGGAGAATCTCCCTGTTGCTGTTGTATTTCTAATAGTTTTTGTTTCATATTCCCCTTTATACCATTCTCAACTCTTTTTATGTGCGTGGTTTAACCACAGCCCTTTATCATAACTCTTTGTCTATCCTTGTGCAGCTTAATGTAGTTGAAAAAATTGTAGAACCATGCTGGCTGGTTTCAATTTAAATTTACAATTACTTATTTTCAGCATGATACTGTCCAAAAATAGCCTATATTTTCCTAGACTACTTGGACTCCTACATACTTGATGCTTATTCCACTCTGTCTCTCTTTTCTTCAATTTTTGCTCTCCCATTCTTCCTCTCAGTTGTAGGCCCCACGCCCTTCTCAACTCCCTCACTTCTCAGCATCTGAGAGCCACGGGGCTCAGGCTTTGGACCTCTTCACTTCTCTGTTTACAGACACTGTCTAGTTGAGCTCATCCAGACTTAGGACTTTAAGTGGCATCTGATGCGAGTGATTGTCAGAGTTACAGCCCTCACCTTGACCTCTTGTCTGAACTTGAAGGTCCAGCTCTTTACTCGTGTCTGCTTTGAGGTGTAACAGACATCTCCAACATAAATGCCCCAAACTGAACTCCTGTTTCCCCCCCAAACCTGCTTTTTCTCCTATGACAATTCTATTTTTTCAGTAGCTCAAGTTAAAATATTCTAAGCATTCTTGATTTCTCTTTTTACATACTGTGCTTGGTTGACAAATCCAGTCACATTTACTGTCAAGTGTGTTCACAGTCTGATCACTTAGCACCT